CCCTCGCTGCTGGGCCAAAGGCAGCAGCTGTGGTGTGTCACCCCAGAGACACCTTTAGCTTGCTGGAGGTTGCAGCTGGGCACTGAACAAGTCCAGGCTTGGTAGGAACTCCGTTTACCTCAGGAGGAAAGCTTCAGGCTATGGTGAGGAGGAAAAGGAGATGGATTCTGCTGGAGGGTTTAATCCAGAGCTTTATTCCATGGTTACAGAGGTCTGAACGTGAGCAACAGCTCCAACAGAATCCCGAGCGCATGGCTTGATTTACCTTTTAAGCTCCCGGGGCAGGGGGAGGGGAGGGAACAGGTGAGGACCAACCAGGTGAGAGGGGCGGGGTCTCAGGGGAGGATGGCACCCAGACAGGCCAATGACCCCCAGGCCTGAGGGGCATCCTTTGAACTTGACCAACCACACAACACCTTGCTGGAATGTTAAACCTGACTGACAGGACTCACTCAGCAAGGGGCGAGGGGGAAGGGAGAGAGGTATAGGCACACCTGGGGAGGGGACCGGGAAGTTTAAAACAGTTTACAACACACTGCAACAAAGGGACATTGAATGGAACTGAAGGATATGGATATAGATCTGTGCAGAGAAATACTTGTAAATGATGGAACAGCCTCTGAATTCTTTGTCCCAAGTTATGCAAGAAGGAGAAACCTGGTTCACTGGGTGCTGGTATTGCAGGTGCCCTGCAGGAATGAGGGTGTACCTTGCTGTGTCCTGGTTTTTGCCTCTGTCACAATCATGTCTTCATCTCCTGTGATTGATGCTGCCGTGCAGCGTTTGCAGCCCTCAGCACTGGCACTGTCACATCTTGGTGTCAGAGGTGTCCTGAGACGCTTGAGAGGAGGAGAGGACAGATCTGATCTCCAGCTGATGGTGTGACAGCGGATAAGCTGTGGCCTGGGAGGGGTTTGGGTATCAGATAAGGGCTCAGTGGTTGTTTATCTCTGACATTGTGCTGAAGAAAAGGGCACTGAAATGCATCCATTTCCAGCAGCCATCAGTGTGGTGGCAGTGGGGCACTGCACATCTGCTTCTGCCTTCAGCATCCCTTCAGAGCTCCTGGGTCATTGCCCAGTGTGTGGCCAGCAGGAGCAGCTCTGTTTGCAGGCACCCACCTAGGGAGAGGAGAGAAAGCACCTCAGCTTGGAGACATTCTCCTGTGGTGCTGAAGGGCCAAAATCATCAAGGAATTGGAATTATCCCTGGAGAAAAGCAGGGTAAGGTGGGTACACATTTTGGGCAATGAGGATGTTAACACAGATGAGAACCCACAAGCGAATCCAGGCACTGGGGAGGTTGAAAAGCTCCCTCTGTCCTTTCTCCAACACCTTCAAACCCACCCAGCCCAGCAGCAGTGTTTGATGTGTGGCTGTTGCTTTGATGAAGGTGTGGGAATGTGGAATTCCAAACCCATACTGGGTTTGCACGTACAGCTGCTTGTTTGCTTTCTAGTACAGATTCCTTTGTAAAATCTGTATCTTGGCCCTGGCTTGGGATTACTTAAGCAGAAATCACTTTCTTCCGTCACGTTTTCAGCACCTTTTTTTTCCTTTGGAGAGGGAATAGTCCAAGATTACACTGTGGAAGGCACATTGGATTTATTGATGCATCTTGAGTTTTGAAACAAGTTGATATTTTTCCATTGCTGCTAAGGAATGTATTTGGTTTTAATTTATAACTGATCCAATCCTTGGAATGATCTGCATGGTGTCAGTCAGGCACTGGAGAGGTTTCAGTACCTTGTCACCACTGCCTGAGCCTGTTGGACTCCTTGGAGGTGTGGGATATGGGTGCTGAAAATTTGTTTGTGCCCTTGAGTCTGTCATAAAGCAGGATCTGCATCAGCTTGGAAATCACTGGGGGAAAGCTTGGATTTTCCTGAAAATCAAAAAGGCAAGAATGTCTGGGATCTACAGAAAAGTGGTTGTCTTTCTGCTCTGTGAGATTTGTATTATTATTAAATACAATATATAGCATCATCAGACCTAGGAAAACAGAGATTTTTGTCCTTAAACAAAGATTTTTCTGGCTGTTGCTGCCTGTTCTGAGTTTTCCAGTGGCTTTCATGAAATAAGTACTTTGATTAATTTATCCATCTGTTCTTGTATGTATATATGAGACTTCTAAGGCCATTTTTTCTCTGCTCTTTCCACATCCTGGACACATTGAGTTTGCTAATAATTCACTGTATTATCTTACCAGTTTCAAGACTGTCAGAGCATGTAGTGTTAAGTCTTTGTTTTTCTCAGTAGTAATTATTCTGTGTATTTCTCACTGCTGAGATGTGTTAGTGTGTTTTTCTTCAATTAATTGATAACTTCTTAAGTGAGGTCTTTTCCTATTGGAGGAGTACAGCCATGTGCTTTGCATTGTGACTGCTTGGCTTGCACGTCCCTCCTTCTGCACATTGATGTCCAGGTATGTGGAAAGAGCAGAGAAAAATGCTATATATTGTATTTGATAATAATACAAATCTCACAGAGCAGAAAGACAACCACTTTTCTGTAGATCCCAGACATTCTTGCCTTTTTGATTTTCAGGAAAATCCAAGCTTTCCCCCAGTGATTTCCAAGCTGATGCAGATCCTGCTTTATGACAGACTCAAGGGCACAAACAAATTTTCAGCACCCATATCCCACACCTCCAAGGAGTCCAACAGGCTCAGGCAGTGGTGACAAGGTACTGAAACCTCTCCAGTGCCTGACTGACACCATGCAGATCATTCCAAGGATTGGATCAGTTATAAATTAAAACCAAATACATTCCTTAGCAGCAATGGAAAAATATCAACTTGTTTCAAAACTCAAGATGCATCAATAAATCCAATGTGCCTTCCACAGTGTAATCTTGGACTATTCCCTCTCCAAAGGAAAAAAAAGGTGCTGAAAACGTGACAGAAGAAAGTGATTTCTGCTTAAGTAATCCCAAGCCAGGGCCAAGATACAGATTTTACAAAGGAATCTGTACTAGAAAGCAAACAAGCAGCTGTGCATGCAAACCCAGTATGGGTTTGGAATTCCACATTCCACGTTTCTTGTCTCCATGCCCCCTTCACCTGGCAGAGGTACCTGTGAAATACCAGATCTGCAGCTCAGTGCTTTGCACCTTCCAGATGTGAGATAAATCACTTCAGCTTGGTCACAAATAGAAGAAAGGCTGTAGTAACTGCTGCCTTCTGGGATGATATTGGAATATGAATCCCAATATTATCAGTTATATTGTGCCTGGGCCAGTCTGACCCTCGCTGCTGGGCCAAAGGCAGCAGCTGTGGTGTGTCACCCCAGAGACACCTTTAGCTTGCTGGAGGTTGCAGCTGGGCACTGAACAAGTCCAGGCTTGGTAGGAACTCCGTTTACCTCAGGAGGAAGGCTTCAGGTGATGGTGAAGAGAAAAGGAGATGGATTCTGCTGGAGGGTTTAATCCAGAGCTTTATTCCATGGTCACACAGGTCTGAACGTGAGCAACAGCTCCAACAGAATCCCGAGCACATGGTCTGATCACCTTTTTAAGCTCCCGGGGGAGGGGAGGGGACAGGTGAGCCACCCAACCAGGTGAGAGGGGCGGGGTCTCAGGGGAGGATGGCACCCAGACAGGCCAATGACCCCCGGGCCTGAGGGGCGTCCTTTGAACGTGATGAACCACAGGAGGCCTTGCTGGAATGTCAAAAGTGATTGACAGCCCAGCAGGGGGCGAGGGGGGAAGGGGAAGAGGGGCATTGGCACACCTGGGAAGGGACCGGGAAGTTTAAAACAGGACATTACAACACACTGCAACATCATGAAAAGATGATGAGCACTGGAATGAAAGTTTGTGTGTGTGTGATGTGGATCCAGGTTCAGTGAGGCACAGGCTGTGGGTGTGTTTCTGTCCTTAGCTCTGTCTGCAGACATTGCAGCCAGTGGAAGCAGTGCCAGGTGGCAGTGCCAGGGACATTGCTGGGGGATCTCTGGGGCAGTTTGTGCTGCAGAATACAAAACTCTGTGGAGCTGATGTTTGGCTCCAAGTCAAGCAGGTATTGATCTTGTTCAAGTCTAAAATGTTATTAATGCAATGGACAAAAAAGAAACCATCCCACAGAAAATACTGTTTATCTACTGCTGACTGGCATGAAAGTGAAATGGCCTTACGACTTGTGTATGTACAACTCTCAAGTAGTTTCTGTGGCAGAAAATTAGATTTATAGAGTTGTGTTTTCAAAAATAGTTTGGCTTCTGATTGAACTGTTTGGGAGTCCAAGGAGCATTTATACCTTTGGAAATGTGAATGGGTGGGCTTGAGTTTAAGTTGTAATTTGTCCTTTCTGATGTATGAACACTCAGTTTGATACTAGGGATTGCTATTCGTGTCACTGTATATTTACCATTTCATTCTAGCACTCTCTATAAAACCAGTTGTGATAATGTAAACCTTCTTCATGCAGAAGAGGTACTTGGGTGTTTTGAAGACTGTTGAGGTTTTTTCCTGATTTTCTGCAGCTGTTTGTTCCTTGCATTCCTTAAACACAGATATCTGAACTTTTCTCCCCTGATACCTTTTGCCTTTAGGTTATCAAATGTGTACGAGGTCCTTTAAAATAAAAAAAAAGGTGCTTTGAGGTGATATGGATGATGATTGTATCTAAATCATGCATGAGGAAAAATGGAGAAAATAAAGGTGCACAGTTGCTCTAGGAAGGTACAGTCTGTATTATCTAGTGTCAGAGTAGAAACACCAGCTCTAAAAAGCTGAGGATATTAAACCTGAGGAACAAAGTAATGCACAACACCATGCTTGTAGCTCTGGCATGGTCATCTAGAAATGCTTCTCAAATGTACAGCTTAAAAACTAGGGTTATTTTTTGGAAGAAACTTCTACTTGCATTTTTTTATAGGTGTCCTTTAAATAAAGTACAATTTGTTTAATGGTTTGGGGTTTTTTTTTAATCATGGCCTTCTTGGCCACTTGGTATTTAGAAGAATGATTAATCTGAGGGATTTATTTTTGTTGTTCTGCAGCGGATATAATTTCTACAGTAGAATTTAACCATTCTGGAGAGTTGTTAGCAACAGGAGACAAAGGAGGGAGAGTTGTCATCTTTCAACAGGAGCAGGAGGTGAGTGCTGTCTAATTCCATTGTTCTTTCTATTCCCTTTTTAAGGACAAGGAGCATGTTTTTATAAAACCCTTTACAAAAAGTGCATGCCTGTGTGATAAGTGATTACAACACTGAAATTTAATTAACTTGGTGATAGAAGTTGTTTTAAACACTCTTTGGTTGTGGCATAAAGAATGTTGAAAGGGAAGACCAAAAAAGGGTAGGACACAAAAGCCCCTTGAGGGAACTGCAGTTGGTTCTTACACAGTGACTCTTCTGGCTGTGCTGTTGATTTCAGCGGAACTGGGGATATTAAAAGTTGCCCTTTAGTAAATGTGTGACTGTGACCTCAGATGTCCTTTTCCACCTCAATCAAGTAAAACCACAGAATCCCCATAGCAGAGGTATCTTTTCTTCCTTTACCCTTGTTTTTTGGGCTTTTGGCTCTACCTCTGTCATTGGGCAGCTGAGCTGCAGTGCCTGATTTTAACTGAGGCTGGAAGTTGGAAGTTTTTGTGGTTATCATGTATTTCAGGGAGATGCCACTATTAGTTTTGTGTAGTTTTTCCTTCCATTTCCATTTTAAAACTCCCTTTTAAAGCTTGGCATTTCTGGTTCCCTGAGCAGACGGCTGCTCTGTGGGCAAGGCACCGTCCCTGTGCCTGCAGCTCCCCTCGGTCAGTGGGGACATCTAGTGGGGCTGTGTGGCACCAGCTGTTGGAGTATTTTGTGGCTTTTTATTGTTTTCCTTTTATTTCTTTATTACTTTTAATTCTTGAGTTGTAGCTTGACACTTTTAAGAATCCTCTTGTGTAGCTTAAAGTTGCAGTAATTCTTTGCCTGCTTTTAGGTGAGCTGTTTTTCAATGACTCCTTGGTTTTTGGAGTATAATCCAAGCTTACATCCTTAGGAGCTGGGATCCAGGGGTAGGAGGAACAGCTGGGTTGTCAGGTGAAATTGCACAGAATTGTTTTTGGCATTTTTTTTACTTCTTGGTGTTTAGGGAATGATTTGTGTTTATGGACTGGTAGTTGGTTGTTCCAACAAACTGTCTAGAGCAGATTTTATGTGAAAGTGAATAAAATGGAAGTGTTCTGTTTGGAATTCTGTGCCCCTTTCTGCCACACTCCCTGCAGAGCTTTGCAGACCACGCCTGCAGGAAGAGAAGCGCTGCCAAGGGCCGTGTGAGGAGCTGTGCAGACCTGTGTGCCTCCCCCACTGCCAAAGTGCTGCCACCTCCGGGCTGGAATGTGGCAGCCAGTGACATCAGCTGGGTGCCAGGCAGGAAGTGAATCCTGCAGCTCCCAGAAACCGAGCAGGAATTTGCGTGGGCACGGTGCAATTACCTAAACTGGAATTGAACATCTTGGGCCAACACCTCGCCTTGTTTGGAATTTTTTGTTTTCCTTTGAGCACCATGAGACTGAGAGTTTAAATTCAGATTTTAGCCCAAGGATGGATTTCACATATTACTGGGCTTATGTATTATTGTGGTCCTGTAAAGTTTTACTAGAATCCACACATAGAATATTTAACCTCAGTCGTTATGGTCAGTCTGGAATTGAAGGAAAGTTCCCAGTTCCCTGGATTTCCGAAGGCATTTCCTACAGCACAATAGATTTCCTTTCCAAGTTGTTCCATGCAGTGACCCAGCTTCAGTTGTTAGTTCTGACTGAGGCTTAGAACAAAGTCCCTTCCATTCTCCAGGGTGGGAAAAGCAGTGTAAGGGACAGGTGTGGTACAGAATTCTGGTGCCAAATGGGATTTCTGAGTGTTTTGGCCCATTATCCCTTCCCTGCCCCCAGCTTATTTTCAAGTACAAGAATTCCTGCCAGCTCTCAGGGTATGAAGCACGGGAAGATGATGCAAAGAATGTGACAAATGTGGGCTAGCAAGGGTTGTATCAGATGTGTTTTGGTGAGCTGCTCAGGGATTAAATGAGCCCATGGACATGAGACACCAGAGAAGGAAGGAGCAAAGTCCCCAGCCAGGAACATATCACAGCAAAGGCATCTGATGGTGCAATCTCTGGAGTTGGTGGGACAGGAATAAATCACAACACTCAGCTTGAAACCACTACAGGTGAACATGGGGAGTACTGCATCAGAAATGGGTCCAATTTTTTGCACCCAGTGGATGAAATTCAAGGTTCAGTCCATGCAGTGCAATATTTTGGTGCTTAAGACACAGCTTTTGGAAAGAGGAATTGTGTAATTTTTCAGTTTTGTAAAACCAGTTTTACACCTGGTCAGGTAACTGCAGGAGTGACTCTAATGCCAGAGCAGAGGTGATGAGCTTCTTCCCCTTCTAGAAAAGAGGAAGAAAAAGCTGCTTAAGCAGTTCAGAAGCTCTTAGGGGACTTGGAGATTATAAACCAGAATCGTGGAGCTGCTGGTATAAATTTAGAGGTGCCATGTGGGTTTTCCATAGTGTGCCTGGAAAGCTGAATGTACTCACAGAGTAAATTTGCCATTTGTGTGTCTGTGTTGCAGGGGAAGAAATATTCCCTTTAAACAGCAAAGATGGAAGAATTAAAGATGAAATAAGTTGTAGTTTGTTTTTGTTTTGGGCTCTTTGGGTTTTTTGTTTTTAATAGGTAAAATATTCGTTTGTTCAGCTGCTCAGCATTAACGTGAAAACTTGTTGGAGATGTTACTCACATCTGTGGAGAGTTTCTGGAAACTTAATCTGCTGCATGAACTGTCTCTTCTCTGATGTTTTCTTAGCCAGAATAATAGAAACTTTAATAAATTTCTTGCCACAGAGATGATGCTCATCTTATTTGGTTGACAGGATCATGAAAATCAAGTAGGTTGTACCCAAATGTACATTGTATACATGTCTTGATCATTTAATTCTCTTTTTAGAACAAAACCCAGTCTCACAGTAGGGGAGAATACAATGTTTACAGTACCTTTCAAAGCCATGAACCAGAGTTTGACTACTTGAAAAGTTTAGAAATTGAAGAGAAGATCAACAAAATTAGGTGGTTACCCCAGAAAAATGCTGCTCAGTTTTTATTGTCTACAAATGGTAAGTATTTTGCACCATAACATGTTCTTATGTAGGTTTGTTATTAGGATTTGGTCTAATCCTCTCCAAAAGGCTGGAATCAAGCAGGGTTTAACTGCAGGGATCTGGGGATGTGGTTGTGGCTTCCCTGGCACAGGTGTCCCAGCACAGGGTGGGTATTTGGGATTTTACAGCCCCTGTGTACAGCTCGTGTGAGACCTTCCTGTGTGTGAGAGTCCCTGTGGCACAGCTTCCATCAATCATTCATCGCAGTCCCTGTCCTGACTGAAACTTGCTGGAGCTCTTATAAAAAGAACAAACTGTGGAGGAGGTTTTTTAATGCTTTTTGTCTTGTTTTCCCCAAGCAGCATTTTTGTCTTTTTTTGTGCACGTGGGCGGCCTTGTCTTCTTAGAAGGCATCAGCAGTGATGACTGGTGTCTCTCCACAGCTCTCATTTTAACCTGTGCTTGTTTCATTGCAGATAAAACAATAAAGTTATGGAAAATCAGTGAAAGGGACAAAAGACCCGAGGGTTATAATTTAAAGGAGGAGGATGGACGGTATAGGGATCCTACTACAGTTACAACACTACGGGTGAGTAGCTCACAATCAGCTCATTCCCCTCTCCCAGCCCATGGCTCTGGGAGGATGTCATGGTTTGGGCCTGGCACAGAGCCAGTGCCCCCATGAGAATACCCTCTCCCTGGTGTCTGCTGTGAGATGTGACCAGGAATAAGCAAAGCAGGCTCCAGCTTAAACATAAAGGAAAATTTATTACCTAAACTACAAGAAAAGAAGGAAAAAAAAACTATAAGAGGAAAAAAATTGAAAACCATACAAAAACACTTTCCTCCTCCCCACCACCCAAAAATTTCCCAATCCAATACATTCCCCCAAATCACCAACTGCCCAGTCTGGCACCACCCTTTAGGATATTCAAACTTCAGTCCATGAAGAGGAGAGGAGTCCTTCTTGCACCACAGGCTTCCCCTGGAAACACACTGAAACCTCGTGTGCTTCCATGTCACTCAGCACCGCCCAGAAAGTCCTTTTGCCATTTGTGACATCTTCCTTCCATGCCCAGTGCTCTCACCACTGTGCACGGACCAGAGCTGCTTTTAGGGTTGTCTTTTAAGGATGCCTTGTCTCACTCCAAAAAGGCACAGTCTCTGCTTTGCGACATCTGTCTCCCCCATTTTTTTCCAACCCCCTGGGACCGAGGGGTCCCCACAATGAACCCTCCTGGTTCTGAGGCACTGCCTCCCCCTAAGTGCAGTCTCTGTGTCACAGGAATAAAACTGGTTCAGTCTATGGCTACACAAGAGAAATCCAGCCAAAAGGCCACTCCAATCATCTCTCCCCACTCAGCCAGGCTTCTCAACATCCTTTGGGCCAGGTCCTTGTTATCTCATCTCTTATCTCCCTTCTTATTCAGCTCCGAGGAGGATCAGCATTTTTGCGAGGTCCCAATCATGAAAGAAAGGGGTTAAAAATTTCAGAATTTCAGTCTCTGTCTGTCCCAGAACTCGCTGCTGCTCTGGCTGGGCACCTCCTCCCTCGCTGCATTCCCCCCCTTTCTCCTCCTGGGCCGGCTGCTATCACATTCGTAGTTGCTGGCTCTCCTCCCTCTCTCTCTCCTGGGGGGGGATGGCTGCTCGATGTCTCCTCGGGCTCCTCCACCCTTCCATCCTCCAGGGCCTCCTCCACCCCCATCCCTGTCCAGGCCCAGGCCTACCACATGGCTGCCCCTCCCCCGCCCAGCAGCAGCAGCTGGACGAGGGGACCTCTTTGCCTCCATCCGACCTCTTTGCCTCCCTCCCAGGGCCGAAGCTCTGCTTTTAACCCCTGTGTGATCTCAGAGGTGTGTCCAAACCCCACTGGCCACACCAGGTGCCAATATCAAAATCCGAGCACCCATTGGTTTGACCACAGCATCCCAGAATTCCCACTTCTTCCTGGTCAAACCACCACAGAGGAACCACCCAGCACATCATTAACTTCATCTTTCCTGTGCTGGCCCTTGGCAGAAATACTGATTTGTGAGATGTTTGATCCAGCTTGGGATGTGGAAGGAGTGTGCTGAGCAGTGCTGGTGTCTGTGTATTACAGCGTCCTGTGTGGGGTCGCTGGGGGTGAGAGAAAGACGAGAGTCTTGTTTCTTGATCAGAAGGTTGGATTTATTGATATATAATACATTATAACTATACTAAATAGAAAATAAAGAGAGAAGTTGCAGATGCTGCTAGCAAAGCTAAGAATAGAAAGAAAAGAAATCTATAACAAAGTTGTGTCCAGGGACTCTGTCCCCAGCTTGCTCCTGTGATTGGCCCTTAATCATAAACATGGGAACATGAACCAATCACAGGTGCATCCCATTACATTCCACAGCAGCTGATAATCATTGTTTACATTCTTTTTCTGAGGCCCTTGCTTCCCAGAAAATGCAGAAATCTGAAAGAAAGGATTTCTGTGAAAAAATGTCTGCGACATCTGTGCTGGGTTGGGATCTCACTCTTGCCCTGCTCCGTGTGCTGCAGGTGCCAGTGTTCAGGCCCATGGACCTCATGGTGGAAGCCAGCCCACGCAGGATATTTGCCAACGCTCACACGTATCACATCAACTCCATCTCCATCAACAGTGACTATGAGACGTACCTGTCTGCAGACGACCTGCGCATCAACCTGTGGCACCTGGAAATCACTGACAGAAGTTTTAGTATCCTTTTGCCATTGTTCTGTGGGATGGGAGCAGGAAAACTGTTGGGTTTTAGTTCCTTTCATGAGAAGTGTTTAGTATAGACACAGAGAATTCATCTCCATTTCTCCCTGGTAATTGTAAGGGCTTTTACTTCTGGAGAAAGAATGGTTTGGTTTGGAAGGGACATTAAAGCTCATCCAGGTGGGCAGGAGCAGGTTGCTCCAACCTGGCCTTGGACAATTCCAGGGATGGAGCAGCCACACCTGTGTGAAGCTTTTAATACAAAATAGCATTTTATAACATAGCAGTATAATTAGAATTTAAGCAAAATGAAGTTTTATATGAAATACTTGGGAGATAATTTGTAGTATAGAATTAATTACTACTGGAGTGTGGAGCAAAACTGAAGCAGGTTTCTGCTGCTGTAAGAATTATCCTGAAACAGATTCAGAATGTGATGTTACCACCTTGCTTTGTAAAAAAAATGTGTGGCTTGATTTTAACTCTTACCTGGGTTGTGCCTGGGTCCCACAAGCCTGAGGTAGCATTTCTGAAAGCATCTAAAACTGAAAAATACCTTGGGAAAAACCCATTTACTGGAGGCAATTCCTTAAAGAGCTGCTGCAGATATTGTAGATATCAAGCCTGCCAACATGGAGGAGCTGACAGAGGTGATCACAGCTGCAGAGTTCCACCCCAACAGCTGCAGCACGTTTGTCTACAGCAGCAGCAAAGGCACAATTCGCCTGTGTGACATGAGGGCATCAGCCCTGTGTGACAGACATTCAAAGTGTGAGTGCTGCAGTTCAATGTCTCCCTGGGCCAGAGGACAGTTGCTGTTAGAGTATATCAAACACTGAATAGTCTGTGTGGATTTGTATAGAATTCCTGTAGTATATTGAGTATATCTAAAGCCTAAAATCTGAATAAATCTTATATTTATGTTTTCCTGGAGTAAAAGTAGTGAGTAAAATGAGTAGCAGCTTCTGTTTGGACACAGGAATGGCTTTTTGCAGACTTCAGGTGGTTAAAGGCCATTTGGTCTGTACTTGGTGCTGGAAATCTGGTGCATGTGTGAATCAAGACTTCACATATTGCCAAATAATTCATTTACTAAGAAGCTGACCTCGGCTTGCTACAACAATAGAGGGTATGGCAACTGTATTACCAATGTTTCTTCTTTAAAGTTATTTTATATAACACAGAGTAACACAAGGCAGAAAGCTTGTTGAGACAATGTTAAAGTAATTCAGGTGTATCTTGTATCAAAGAGACACAACCTGACCTCTTGAAATGCCTGTCTTATTTTCCTGCAGTGTTTGAAGAACCAGAGGATCCTAGCAACAGATCATTTTTCTCTGAAATCATCTCTTCCATATCTGATGTCAAATTTAGCCACAGTGGTCGATATATGATGACTAGAGATTATCTGTCAGTGAAGATCTGGGATTTAAATATGGAAAATAGACCTGTGGAAACATACCAGGTACTGGGTGAAAATCATGTGGGCTGGGAAGTAAAAACCATGGACAGGGGCTGAATCTTACTGATAGCCTTGATGTGGCAGTTACAGTTTTGTCTCTAGATTCAGGCATAGCATCCCTGAGCTTTGGGGGTTCCACACTCCTGCTGAAAGGCTGTGCTGTTTGCAGGGTGGTGGCAGAACCCAAAGCCGTGTTTGGGGCTGGAAAAGCCTCACTCTTACCCAGTGGGGGTTTGGGATGTGGAGAGGAAATCTCCAGCCATGATACTAGGACAGGTCTTTGGCTGTCTTTATGTTCTGTGCCATATCAGGAGGTGAAACATTTCCCTTTCATAAAATGTTTTTAGCTCCCACTGAAAATTGCTGTTTTCATTATAAGAAAGAGCTCTTGTGAACAGTCTCAGGTTCCTTGCTTTTGGAACAGTCTGGGAAGGCTGTTTTACAGGTATGAGTCTAAGGCTCACTCAGTTTCTCTTATCCCTCTTTTCCAGGTGCATGAATACCTCAGGAGTAAACTCTGCTCACTGTATGAGAATGATTGCATTTTTGACAAGTTTGAATGCTGTTGGAATGGATCAGACAGGCAAGTGGAATTCTTATCCCTGTGCACTTCAGATCTTTCCAAATTATTCTTAAAATGGGCAGTGGACCTCAAATACCTGGATTTGGACAATGCAGTAGTACTTTAGTAGAGTGTAACATGTGCATTATTAACTGTAAGGATCTGTACCAGACCTCTAGGGGAACCCATGGGAAAACCTTCCAGGAATGTTCTTTTTCCAGTGATTTACCATGGTTGTGACCTGCTATTACAGCACCCTGTGTGGGGTCGCTGGTGGTGAGAGAGACGGTGAATCTTGTTTCTTGATCAGACGGCTGGATTTATTGATATATGATACATAATACATTATTACTATACAAAATAGAATAAAGAGAGAGGTTGCAGATGCTAGCTAGGCTAAGAATAGAAAGGAAAGAATCTAAAACAAAGTTGTGTCCAGGGGCTCAGTCCCCTAGCTTGCACTGGGGATTGGCCCTTAATTATAAACATAGAAAATGAGCCAATCAAGGTGAATCCTATTACATTCCACAGCAGCTGATAACAATTGTTTACATTCATCTTCTGGGGCCCTTTGCTTCCCAGAAGATACAGAAATCTGAAAGAAAGGATTTCTGTGAAAAAATGTCTGCGACAACCTGCCAATAGCACCACTTAGGACAGCTCTTGCTTCTGTGCTAATCATGCCATTAACTGCTTTTTTGTGGCATTTAAAGCAGCTCGGTGGTTCCTTGTCAGTGCTGTCAGACATGGTGTGCTGCTTTTTTTTTTTTTGAAATCTGGCATCTGTCTGCTCAAATATTTTTTGAGGCAGAGGAAGGACAGGGAAACTTGTAAGTCTGTTTTTCTTACTGAACAGCTGATGCAGAATCAGGGGCTATAAGGAATTTTCACAAACTAGATGTGCTGCTTAGTACCTAAATTTGCACACCTTCTGCGTCACTAAAAATCCGACGTATCGGCTCTCTCCTGTGTGTGTGTGAAAAGCAAATTAAATAATGACATTGGAGGTGCTTCGATAACAAAATACCTCAGAGGGCCCAGGGAAGGTAAAAGGGTATTTTTGGGAAGTTTGAAATTTATAAAACCTGCTTCCCTTTAGCTGTAGCAGGTGTGGGTGATGCCACGTGTGTGATCTCAGTCGAGACCCTCTGGCTTGCTAAAAGGAGAAGGCATTCCTTACTGACATCTTTCTTCCTTCTCCCCCTGTGCAGCATTGTCATGACAGGGTCTTACAACAACTTCTTCAGGATGTTTGATAGGAACACGAAGCGAGACATCACCTTGGAGGCGTCGCGGGAGAACAACAAACCGCGCACGGTGCTGAAGCCGCGCAAGGTGTGCGCCAGCGGCAAGAGAAAGAAGGACGAGATCAGTGTCGACAGCTTAGACTTCAACAAGAAGATCCTGCACACAGCCTGGCACCCCAAGGAGAACATCATTGCTGTAGCTACCACAAACAACTTGTATATATTTCAAGACAAGATGAATTAGGGTTGGCATTCCTAACTGAAGAGTCACTTCCTGCATAGTTGAAATAGTTGAATCTAGCATTTGTACCTGTAACAAAAGCAAGTGAGAGGTCCATTATGGCACCCCTTTCCAGTGTTTAAAAATGTGCCATATGACAACACACTTTTCTAGCTCCATGGAGAAGGCTCTGTGGTTCTGTTGTCTCCGTTCCTGCTAGCCATTTAGGTGAGGATAGGGCACTTTTTAATTTAAATGACTACTTGCACCATCTTGCCTAATGGACTAGACTGGACTGTCTCAACATCGGTTTACTCCACTTTTTATGCCTTCCATTGTGATGACGTCAGACACAGGGAAAGCCTTCAATCATGCTATGGGATTTAATTGTGTAACCTCATTACTGTATCATTCGTGGCCCCCTTTTTTTATTAAATACAGCTCATTCTTGCTGTGGCTTGTAGCATTCCTCCTCCTTCTGGCCTCCTGGACTCCCCCTTCCCCCTTCGTCCCCCCTCCACCTCGCCTTGGTGGTGGTGTATGGAAAAAAAATAAACAAAATAAAGCACATAAAATGGGTCCTTTTGGGGTCAGTGGTAAAGGGGGTCTGTGTTGCAACAAGTGTTTTAATAAACAGTTGACTGTAATCACTCCTTGCCATGTCTGGCACCAAAAAAAAGAGAAAATAAGGAAAAAAAACTACTGAATAAAAGTGACAAAGAATGGAGAATCTGTTTTCTTTTTTTTTTTTTTAATCTACCTCTTTATACAAATACTCTGTGTTTTACCTTAGATGCATGAAAATAAAATTATGTTTTTTGTAATGATTTTAACCAGTATTAATTATTTTTCATGGGAATGAAGAGAGGGAGGGATTTCACAGGTACCTGCATTCACTCCTGAGCAATCTGGGCACCAGCCAGTGTATGACCACTTCCATCTCAGCACCACAACTGCTGTCAGGTTTTGATCTGAGCAGCCACTTCCTGTGCCCTTGAATGCTCCTCTTTTTAGCCTGTTGCTTTAATCAGAAAGGGAATAGAATCTTCAGGTTTTAAATTCCATTTTTTGGGACTGATGTCTTAATGTTTAGTTTCATCCTGGTTTCTTCAATGCCTTGTTTTAGGATAAAATACCTTTAATGCCTTGTTTAGAGCACCAAGTCCCCTGTGGCTTTGTGAGAAATTGTCCAAGCTCCTGTGTGGTGTTCTGTAGTACAAGCCAGCACCATGGTTCCATAGCTAATGACTGCACTGCATTCTGCTGCTCTATTTTCTGTATTTATTGCTAACTGGAAATGTAGTTTAACCATGCAAATGTTTTCTTCTGGCTTTTGGCTTTGCAAAGTTCCTGCACTTATAGAAATGTTCACTGGTGCGAGGAGCCAAACATGTGGAGTACAGAAGCTGCATGAAATAAGTGTTCATAGTGATGTGAGAGATTTCAACTCCTCAGCACATAAGGCTTATCCAAAGATTAACTAGATATTGATGCTTTATAAGGCTCATGAGTTTTTACTTCCAGTATTTTTGCTGATTGTGCTTTTAGGTTTTGTTCCTCCTTCATGGAAATGTTCAGTAAAGTTTGAATTAATGGTGAATTTACCTTGACTGGCAGAATTTTTGCTTTTGAGTTACCTGTATTTAATTATTTCTGTGGCTTAGAGGTAGTTATTAAAATGACATTATGATTTGATCAACTGAGATACTATTTCTGCTGTAAAATTTTGGCTGGGTTAGAGGTTATTAACAAGACTACTATTGCAATCACTCTTGAGTTTTTTTAAGTCCTTCTGCAGTGATGTGAAAATGTAAAAATTCTAATATTTATTAATCCAGTTCTCTTAAATACAGTATTTGTCTTGTACCATGCATGCGTGACCATGAGCCTTTGTAAGGATTTGACCTTTTTTTTCACCTGTTAGCCTTGTAAAACAAATTAATTGCCCCAGGAACAGCAGCTGTTTTCCAGTGAGTGAATAAACAAGTGGGCCCTACTCCTATTTAGTAGCATGTGACTAATTTTACTCCAGCAACCAGACCTTCCAACAGTTTGAGAAACAACTTGTTGAGTAACATTAATCACATGTGCAGCTGTTTCCAGGGCCAAAGCTTATGTTCTTTATCTTGCTGTGAAGGCACTGAGGTGATGAGATGCTTTTGCTGTGGAGCTGGTAAAATCCTGTTCTGTGAAGGTGTAGGTTTAAGGATGCTGGATTGGGAAGATGAGGGCCATGGTATTGAGGCTGCTGTTCCTGTGCCACCAGAGCCCCAGGGATGCACTGAAGGTGCTGAGCAGGTGAAGATGGCACAGAGTGAGCGGGTGCAGCCACCCAGAGCAATACTCCAGTACAGCTTCCTCTGGCACCACAGCTGGGCCTGCTGGGATGGGTTAAAGCTCACTGTGGGAAAGGGTTTGGGTTTGCTGGGAATGGTGGTCCTTGTCATTCACCTGAGGTTTAACTTGTCCTCACCAAACCCAGCTCCTGCCTGTGCTGTCACACTATCCATTAGAGAATTCTCTAAGCACACTGTCCACTGATACATGCTGTAAATCATATATTTTATTAATAAAAGTACACAGAGAATACACTTTGTCAGGATGCTTTTTATGCTCTTTCCTGCCCCTATCCTTTTCTGTGTTTGCAGGTATTTTTGAATGAGTGGTCTCTTCCCTGTGCCTGGGGAACTGTGTCCCTGTTCCTGTCGTGGGCAGGATGGTTCTGGTCACTGCCTTCAGCTGCTCCAGTCACACAGCATCCTCAGTGCCCAGTAAAACCAGTGCAAATCTGCAATTCCCAGTCCCTGAATGCCAGACTGAACATGGGGAAGGCATTCTCCTCCCTGCATCTTGTCCTTGTGCCACTGAAATGCCACCAACCACCACTTGGGTCGTTTGTATCTACAATGTGACAGCAGCAGTGTCACTCGTGCCACCAGTTACTGTTCAGAGCGAGGTGTTTATCCAGCTGACACAATGCCCAGGTGCAGGAGAGCCCTGTGCCTCAAGTCCTTTGTCACTTCCCTGCTAGGATGTGGCTGCTGCCTGGAAAACACGCTGGGTATGCAGCAGCACCTGCTCCCCTACTGCTCTGTTCAGGGAGAACAGGATCATTTATTGCTTAACTGCAGATCCTTTTATTATCAGCCTGATTGGAAAAAGTTCGGGTGGTGCTGACAAGCAAAAACCTGTGAGATTTCCCCTCCTTGAGAGGGGCTATGGATGATGGAATACCAATATTTTAATAGAGACTTTTATTGTCATCCTCTTAGGCACAGCAGAGCTGGGAAGCAATTTCCTGTGTGCTGCTCTTCTGCTCTTCCCCTCGGGCTGTAGAGGTGTAAAACATCCCGACTCCCATCAAACACTCATTTTATTGAATAAAAGGTGCCTCCTTTTGCCCTTTTCCATGGAATTGGCTCTTGTAAAGGGAAGGACTTGGATCGAGGTGTGCTGGGAGTGAGGCTGCTGTGTATTGACTGTGGCTGTCTGGAGCTGTTTGTTTGCCTGCAGCAAACATCTTATTTAACTTGGTTTGGGCTTGTAAAGATAAGCGGTGGACTAAAACCAATGTTTGTTTCACAGCTGCGAGAATAAAAACTGTGAATTCGATTTCTCTACACAGTGAATTTTACCCTCCAATCTGAACAGTCTCAACCTTTGCAAAGAGGAAAACAGCCCTGGCTGGTTTTGATAACGCTTTTCTGAGCCAGCGCTCTCCACTAGGAGGCAAACGCTACCGTAGAGAGGCGCAGGCTTGGAACCGCGAGCGGCCACGGCGAGGTGTGGTCACTGTCCCTCGAAGTCACCTCCGGAATCAGCAGCCATCACTTGTTGCTAAATATGAAACACTATAAAAGCGTTCCCAGGGTGGATTAATGCAGTACAAAGAGTTCAGCCGAGGTGTGCAGGGCCAAGAGCCCTTGTGCAGGGAGGATGCTGGGTGTGTCCAGCTCAGGAAAGGGCACTTGTTCAGCTTTGGGGAACTGAAATACTAACAAACAAAATAAAAATAATCATGGCATGTTCTAGACTTGAGAATCATGCAATGTCTTGGGTTGGAAAGGACCTTAAATCCCATCCAGTGCCATCCCCTGCCAGGGGCAGGGACATTTTCACTGTCCCAGGGTGCTCCAAGCCCCATCCAACGTGGTCTTGGACACTTGCAGGGATCCAGGGGCAGACAGAGCTCTCCTTCTGTACTTGTTTCAAACATTTAGAATACCTTGGAACCATGAGATATTCCCAGTGGGATTGTCACAGACATCTTTTCATTAAAATCCTTTCTTTAGGATTTTTCCCCCTTCTGAGAAGCTGTGGCCTCAGCAACAAGGTGTAAACAATGGTTATCTGCTGCTGTGGAATGCAACAGGTGCATCTGTGATTGGTCTCGGGTGGATGTTTGGATTTACTGACCACTCACGGCAGAGCTGGGTCTCGCTCTCTGCTGAGACACAGATCTTTGTTTATTCATTCCTTTTCTATTCTTAGCTTAGCCAGCTTCTGAGAACTTTTCTCTCTATTCCTTTTAGTATAGTCATAATGTAATGTATATCATAAAATAATAAATCAAGCCTTCTGAACGTGAGGTCAACATTCTCGTCTCTCTCTTCATCCTGCAACCCTTGCAAGCCCTGTGACATGGTATTATCTTGGCACAGGTTTTGTTAACTGCTTGATTTCAATTGACTTAAAAGTTTTGGTTTTTTTTTCCTGGAAGAAAAACCTTTGTATTGCACTCCAGTACAAAAAGCTTTTCCCAGGAATCTGTGGCCATTGTTTCTCTTCTATTAATATGTGGTTTTGTGTCCATCCAACGCCACCATTGTCACAGCATTTTCCATCCGAGGGTTCAAATTACAAACATTAATTACATCATTCAAGTGCCTCAAGGAACCTGTGCAGTGGTTTGAGCATGGGGCTGAAAGTCAGGCCTTGTGAATGCTATTTCTGGCTCTGCATTGACTCACTCTATAATCTTGATCAATTTATTTCTGACTCAGAAATTTTAATAGTCCCACTTGACTGATAAATATTAATGCCGCAAGTGTTGTGGCAAATGCTTCCTGAATGAGGGTGGTGACAAATGCTCATGTTAGCCTGTGATTTGAGGGTTGCAAAGTAGGGTTAGGTTACCTGCGCAGGTTTTTTATTCAAAATCACAAGTAGCTCATTGTTCTGATTTCAATCTCAAGTGTTTCTGCAGCCCCTCCACCTGTAAATAGATGTTTTATCAAATTAATTCAATTTGTGCTTTCTACTACTAACGTAGCTAATTCTCTCCCAGTGCCACTCCAGAGCCATCCAGATTTTCCACAGGGTCAGATATTTGGTACAGTCATGCAAGGCCTGCAGTCAAATTCAGGAGAAGTGTTGGTGTTACAAGAGGCCGATTTCAAACCTCCAACATTAGTGTAGAGGAATAGAAGACAAAAAATACTTATAACAGGTATTGTAGTATAGGATGATTGTGATACTTGTGCATACAAGCTTTTTCTCTAGCTAAAAAAAGCTGACACAGAAAGAAGTGATTTTTTTCACATTTGTAATGGGGAGCAAACAAAGAACACTACTGGAGTTGTGTCTGCGTGTCTTCACTCTGATAGTGTTGCTGTTACTGAACTTCAGTGAGTAGAGTAATGAAAAAAACCACAATTTATATTCTTGTGGCTGTTGATGGGAGGACTTTATGGTGTAAAAGGCTCCTTTACAACTTTTGGTAAGCAAAATGCTTATAAATATAGATATACGTGTTAGAGACATGAAACTGAAGTCACAAAATTACATCAAAAAGAGTCTAGGCCTCCAAATAAATCTTGACATTGAAGTGACGGCAAAACAGAATGAAAAGAACAAGATGAAAAGCAGTCGGGGGGCAGGGGGGGGCCCCTGTGGCTCTGCCCAGCTCCTGCCAGGAGGGCACAGGGACAGGAGCAGAGGGAACGGCCTCAGGCTGGGCCAGGGCAGCTCAGGGTGGGCACAGCAGGAATTTCCCCATGGAAAGGGGGCTCAGGGCAGCTCAGGGTGGGCACAGCAGGAATTTCCCCATGGAAAGGGAGCTCAGGGCAGACTCAGGGTGGGCACAGCAGGAATTTCCCCATGGAAAGGGGGCTCAGGGCAGGCTCAGGGTGGGCACAGCAGGAATTTCCCCATGGAAAGGGGGCTCAGGGCAGGCTCAGGGTGGGCACAGCGGGAATTTCCCCATGGAAAGGGGGCTCAGGGACTGCCCAGGGAGGGTTGGAGTGCCCATCCCTGGAGGGGGCACCTGGAGGTGGCACTCAGAGGGGACAAGGTGGCGATCGGGCACCGCTCGGGCTCGGGGCTCTGGGAGGGCTCTCCCAGCCTGACGGGCCGCGTCACTCGCTCTTGGTCCCTATGTCTCTCCCTATCCTTCTGTCACTCCCGGTCCCTCTGTCGCTCCCGCTGTCCCTCCCTGTCGCTGTGTCGCTCCCTGCCCCTCTGTCGCTCCCGGTCCCTGTATCGCTCCCTATCCCTCTATCACTCACTCCCGGTCCCTGTGTCGCTCCCTGTCCCTCTGTCGTTCCCTGTCCCCGTGTCCCCTCCCCGCTGCGCCGCTCCCGCTCCCTCAGCCCCCGCCCTGCGCACGCGCGGGACGTGCGCGGGCGCGGGTCGCGCCATGGAGGCGGAGGGCGGGAGCAGCGCGTGCCGCGCCTGCGCAGCGCGACGGGGCGGGGCGGGGCGGCCGGGCCCGGAACGGAGTCCGGGTTTGTTGTTTTTGCCCCAGCGGCTCCTCAGTCGCCTCAGCCGCGCCGCCGTCGCCATGTCCAGCCCTCAGGAACAGCCGCAGCACAACAACAACAACAACCCGCCGGCGGACGGGACGCACGGCGAGCCCGGCCTCAACAGTGAGTGCGGCCGCGGGGGCGCGGGCGGGGAATGGCGCGGGGGGCCCTGAAGGGGCCGCGACCCCCTGGCGCCGCTCCGGGCCGCCATTGGCGTAGGACGCGGCGCGCGAGCCGCCGGGGGCCAATGGCCGGGGCGCAGCGGGTATAAATGGCCCGGCGGGGGGCGTGAGGGGCCGGCTGGCGGCGGGAGCGGCCGGGGGAGACCGGGGGAGCCCGGGGGCCGCGGCGCTGCTGGGCTGGATCGGGCGGCTCCGGGTGCCGGGAGAGCGCTGCCCTGGCGGGACCCGAGCCGCCTCCGTTCGCAGGGGGCTGAGGGCCATCGAGTCCCCCGAGGAACGGCCCAAGCTCGTTGCGTGGTTACACGGAGTTTACCCGAACAGCGACGATGGGATACAGCGGGGTAGGGGGAGGAGCGTGGCTGTGGGAATGAATTTATTCGGTGGCTGAGTCAATAGCACTGACGTGAGCTATTTCCCTCTATATCCGGCATCTCTGTCAGCTGCTTTGCTGCATCCTTTTGTTCCTGGGATAACACTAGTAAGGCACATCATGTAGGCTCTGGTACTTACTTGGCCAATGCTTTCCCTTCGTTATAAACAGCTCCTTCGGTATGTCTTTTCATCTCTAAATTTTAGGGATAGAAGAGGTGAATAAATTGCATTAATGATTAACTGTAACCTCCGTGGTTTACGATGTAGTTTAGCTGACCACAAATAAACTCGTTATTTTTGCTTTTCCATAACTCAGTGGAAATTGTATGAAAGGAAGAATAAACTGTGTCCTTTTCATAATGCTGCTATTGTGTTGTGGTAACACTCCATCGTGTGATAACCGCGGCACCTTAAACAATGTTACCCGAGTCAATAATCTTGGCAAATTATTCAGGCCTGTTAAACTTAAATAACAATTAGGCTGTTAAAGTTGTGACGCGCTGGGTGCCTGACTCAATGCTTACTTCAGAAATGGCCAGATTTGATGTCTGTGTATTTTATGTTGAATTTCTGGCAATGTGGTACCTCCGGGAGTCATTCATGTGCTGGTGATAGGGGCGACAAGAGCTGGGAGCTGTGTGAGCCAGGGATGGACGTGCCCAACGAGAGGAAATGTTTGACACTGTGCTCCAGCAGCAAAACAAATGCACCCCGTCGGTTCCCCACAGACTCCGTGGTGCTTTTAGGTGTTCAGCCCCTGCACAGTGCTTTGGTGAGAGAGGTGCCTTTTCTGCCATTCTCCCAGCTTTTCAGTGAACTTCTCAGCCTAATGAGCTGAGACACCTTTTCATGGTGTTCTGTGTGTCATTTGTGTGTGTTTAGGGCCTTTTATTCAAAGATTCCCTTAGCACTTGGAAGGCAGAAGAGCTGGGAATAAAACTGGTAACCTGTGCTTTATTGGGTTCAAAGAGATAAAAAACCCAAGTTGCTTGTTTTGGGAATTCTAGATGCTTCCTATATTTTAATTATTATAAAGCTCTGTTACATATTGACAAAAAAAAATCCCACCTTAGGCAAGAGCCCATCTAGTTCTGTCATGGAAAATCTGCTTAATAATTACCATTGTGGGAGTTTGGTTGACTTTCTTTTCTTTTCCCTTTTTTTTTTTTTTTTTTTTTTTTTGTTGTTGTTGTTAATGTTGTACTTCATTGTAAAAGTAATATTTATTAGTTAATTCAGGTCAATCATGTCTCAGACTACTTGTGAGCGACTGAGTTGGTAGTAGCTTGGAGTATTTTTATATCTATAAAATGTGTACAGTATTTAATTTATATATTGCCTTTGATATCTCCACTTCATGTACTGAGCTGAAATCAGAGGGAATAAACAAAATGAGACCAGTCTTCCCCAACATGTTTAACCCCTGATGTTTAAACAGTCCCCCAAGTCATGGAAAAACATAGAATTAAAGTCGGTGTATATAAATTCGTAGTGAAATAATTAGCTATAGAGCAAAGCCAAAAATTCTCCATTTTAGAGAAAAATCCCATTGGCGTGAACAATTGTTTGTGGGGTTTTTTCTCCAAAGAGTGTGTGTTACGTGATTTGTGAAGGGAGGAGATGCTGCCACATTTCTTTATTGTATTACTCTTAAATCTACCGTTCTTCATTCTGCCACATTTCCTATTTTACTGTCAGGTAGAAAGATGTGAAAGTAAAAGTTCTCAGGCAGGTGATTAATGTACAGAAAAGCTCAGGGCAAACCCCATTCTCTGTTATTTGGGCAGTTTATTCTGCAGTACATTCCTGCCCATCTCTTGAAAGGAACAGAGGTTTTTGTCCCTCTGGTGAGTCCCTGTCCCAGTGTGAGTGCCGTGGGAGGGGGCAGCGTGCAGGAGCCTGATGGCAGATTATGCTTCCTTAATGTGTTTTGAGTCATTCCCGGTGAGGTCAGCTGGGAACGTGCTGCTCCTCATGTCAACTCCTACTCAGCTCCCAGGGACTCTTTACTCACAGGAAAATTGGGGATTTCTTCCTACTACGGCCACAGTGTGTTTTAGATAAACACAGAATTTGTCAGCCCGAGGTAAATGAGTAAAAACTTTATTTGTGACAGTGGATTTAGAGCTGTGTGTCAGAGTAAGGAGATCTGATCACCATCCTCTGGGTGTTCTGGTGTCAGAGGAACACATCCCATCACACTTTTGTCCTCCGCTGATTTTTTTGGTTCCTAGATGCTTTGCAGATCCTGATTTTTCCAATAGCCACAAGTGGTTGTTGGGGAATATAAAGCTCTCCTACCTAACTTTTGACCACTTGCTAATTGCATTTGCCACCTGCTTTTTTGCAGGTGTGGTCTCTTGTGCAAGGCAGAACAACCTTTCTGATGAAGCTCTTAGAGTTTGGCCATTTTATTTAGGAATTCAGACATCAGCAATCTGGAATGACACAGTCTGTGTCTGCTGCTGACTGAGCAAAGCTGCCTGTTCCCAGTTAACACCTGCTTGTCTGGACAGCCTGATGTGCAGTGCTGGGCACTCCCAAAATTCCCTTTTGTGAGTCCAGCCTGGGGAGATGGGCTGGGAACCACCAGAGCATGATGCTTCCATGGACATCACTGTCATGGCATGGGGAATAATTGGTGCTAAAGGAGAATTCTTCATCAAATCAAGTTGGAAACAGGCTCATTATTAAACATCCCTTCCTGTGTCACTGATGGAGCTCCCAGAGACAAAACCATGCTACAAAAAAAAGTGCAGGCGCTCCCAGGTGCATTTCAGAAATCAAAAATCATCTCCAAGCTGTGGGGAGGCTTGTAGAAATGAGAAAGATTTTATTATAGCAAGGTTCCCCTGGCGGTTGTTATTCATGACAAAATTGAGAACCATGAGAAAACTGGTTTTTTCCTTTTGTAGAAAAGTCTCCATAACTTTAACAAGAGGAACTTCTCTCCCTAAGTGAACTAAAAAAAGACTCTTTGAGAGGTAGTAAACTGACTAGAAATCTTAAGTTTAGTTTCTTTACATTGTCAGTGAGAAAGAAAAAGTTGTGGGGAGAAGTATTCTAAAAAGTTTGCTTTGATTCTTACTACCTTTTTTTTCTTTTTACTTACTATTATTAAAATTTTTCTTTCTACCCTTTTAAAGTTTTGAGCCTGCTTTACCTTTCTCCTAATCCTATCTCACAACCAAAAATAAGTGTATTAGTAATTAACCACACCAAACCCACCACATTCTTTAGTGCATTAGGCAAAAAAGTCTCAAAATTAAAGAGATCTTAAATTAGCAAACCAAAACCACGACACCCTAGCACAGAGCCAGTCACTCCCAGTACGATCCCAGTATGAATCCACTGTGATCCCAGTCTTCCCAGTTGTCCCCAATGTAGGCTCAGTGACTCCAGTCACTCTCAGTGTGTTCCTCAGTGTTAAAAAGTAGGACTTGTACAAATAATGCTCAAAATGTTGTATTTGTAGCTTCAGGCTTGCTTTTCTTACTTGGATATTTTTACATCCTGGGGGAAGATGTCCAAACTTTTAAAAATAGTTAACCAAATACAAAAAGAACCCTGAAAGCTCCTACCTTCAGGTGGAATAAACTAAATTACAGAGGAGCTCTGGTGACATGTATCTCTGCATGTCACCAATTGAAACATATCACTAAAGAATGTATCAGAACATACACTCTCATATTTGGTTAATCTGCACATAAAATATAAGTGAAACACATTTTAAAATAAAAATCCTCTCTTTATCTACACAGTGTGTGAACTTTTTAGCAGCTGCCCTTGTCATCTAGAGTGCACTCTTGCTCTTTGTTGGATCTTAGTGCACGCGTAGATGTCCCATTGGTAAAACCAAAAAATGGGGGGAAAACAGTAAATTGGAGCTTTATGACAGATGTTTGTGCCAGGCCAAAGCAAGCTGGAGGAGACCTGAGAATGGCCGGCTGCCTGATGTATAGAAAAACTGGGGATTGATCCAAGGCCTGTGGAAGTAAAGGAAAGGAGGATATAAAGCTGCACAGGGGGGAGCTTTGTAGTAGGGGCATAGGAATGAAAATTCTGTTTGAGAAAGGAATGTGGAACAGGATGAGGTGTGACAGAGCAATCTGTAGTTCACAAACTGCAGAGAGGTGTGGCTGATTAAAGTATTAATAATTGGGGAGAAAGGAGACATCTTACTGACCAGCTGCAGAGTTAGGGAGCAGCAGCCCAGCTTTTGGGGGTGTTTGTGTTGGTGAAAGAAGAATCCTGTGGCTGTTGTCCCTGTGCTGTGTTTATGAGCTCTCTCGGGTCAGCGTGTGTTATCTGAGCCCAGCATGCTGGGGTTTCCCTCTGGGGGCAGTTGATAACCTGAAGGTGTGTGCAGTGCTGGCTGTCCCTGAGGTGACGTGTGGCTGCCCCACAGGTTCCTGGGTGGAGCTGCAGATGAACGGCAACGGCAACGGCAATGACAACGGCAAGAACGGGGGCCTGGAGCACGTGCCATCCTCCTCCTCCATCCACAATGGGGACATGGAGAAAATCCTGCTGGATGCACAGCACGAGTCAGGACAGAGCAGTTCAAGAGGTAGTTCCCACTGTGACAGGTAAAGGAGTGTTGGCTACTCTGCCTGTGGTTTATTTTATGGTTTACCCACAGTTTGTCCTGTGGGTGGGTAGAGCTTTTTGTCAGGGAGACTTTCTGTTGTGCTGCAGTATTTGGAATAGCTGCTGGCTCGTGGTAACTGTGTGATGGTACAAAAACACATGGAATTCAATGTGGGATCTCAGCACAGCATCCTGATGTGCAGAGTCACCGAGACAACCCTTGGGGGGCTCGGAGGTCCTGGAACGTTGCCAGAAGTGTCTGGTGGTTGGACTTTGACCCTGCATGGGAAACAACACCTGTGTGAGGATGGGAGGATCTCACGGGGATAAATGGTGAAGGGATAGGTTAATTATAGTGTGAAACACAGGGTTTAGAATCTCGGTACAGGGGGGTTCTAGGGGACAAGATGGAGGAATTAGGGCGTGTCCTGTCCTTCTTCTTCTTCTTCTTCTTCTTGTCCATCTTCTGTGGTGGTGGTGGCACTTTGGGATTGGTTCTTACTGAATGTGCACTTGTCAATAAGGGTGAAAGGTATTGGGGAGAAAAGGTAAATATCTTACGCGTAGTTTTTGGTATAAAGATAAGTGACTGCCCCGAGGGCTCTCAGTGTGCTCATGGCTGTTGTGCTGTGCGGACCTCTGTCGGGCCGGGAGGAAATATTGTAGATAAAAACTGATAAACACTGAAGACCGAGAAAAAACCTGAAGACTCCTTTGGTCCTTTGGAGCGCGGGCTGCCCCAAGGCCACCCTGAGCCTTTCCAGGCCATCAAAAACAGCCGAGAACGGGACAATTCACAGTACTGGTAGTGTTCCCTATCAGAACAAAGGGAGTTGCATCTTTTCTGTAGCAGCTGAACTTTTGGGCTGTGCTTTCTTTGCTTTGGGGAGCAACTGTGAACTCTGTGGAGAAAGGTAGGATTGTAAATTCCAAAATAATTGAAAAGGCAGGGGGGTTGGGAAGACTTTGTAGGGCTGGTATTTGGGATCTGAAGGGGGGTGCAGTCTGTAACTCAGCTGAATGATGTCCAAAAGTACATGAGGAGATAATTCAGCTGAGATTTACCTACACTGATGATTCTTTAGTTGACAAAATGACATTATGATATCGATTTCTCTTTAGCCCGTCACCTCAAGATGATGGACAGATAACTTTTGATGTGGAAATGCACACAAGTAAAGACAGTAGTTCTCAGGTATTTTCTTCCTTAACTTTTAAAATATACTTTTGTAAGTTATGGATATTTGATCTAGGCTTGAGGTGTAGAACATGCTCTTTGTGATGTCAAAAGACTTATATTCTCTATTAATTGAAATTTGACTTGGAGATTAATAGTGTTGGAGTGAGGGAAAAATGAGTCTCCATCTGTACAGCTGGGAAATGCTTCTTTCCTAGCAGTCATGTTACTGTGTAACCCTGCTGGCCCTGGGTGTCAAAGCTGGGTTTAAAATGTTCACATTTCTGCACAAGATTTCAGGGTGTTCAGTGATGGCTGTGCAGACACTCCCATGAGTGAGTAATCTCCATAACACAAACTGAGAGCAGACTCATGCTGAACTCTTAGCTGGATCATTTCATAAAATTTGCTGTCTTCAGCAGTATAAATAAAAAGCATTCCTGGAAGAATGAAACCTTGCATTTAATTTTGTCAAAGACCTGGGACTGTTGCAGCTCTGCCCTGAGAGCCAGCAGGGTCTGAATGAAGGTGTTGGTGAGCTCTGCATCTCACTTGTGACTCTGCTATTTGATTACCTCCGGGTTTGCTGTGGTTCTCACTTAATGTTGTAAGTGGCTTATCTTATTTTAATAAAAGTCACTCAGGAGATTGTTTTAATACTGAGTAGGAGTTAAAGTCAGTGGTGTTCTCTACTCTCCCTAATTTATTTCTTTTCTTGTATGATAACATTTGCATCTATTGATGTGAAGTTAAATCTTTCTATACAATTAGAGTGAGTGCTTGCTTGTCCCTCTTGCATCTGGGATTCACCCAGTCCAAGCTACTAGTTGCAAGTAATGTAAATTTTAAATTATTAATAACACCTTTAAAAAGTCAAAATCCTAGTTTTGAAACCATTTTATTTGACTTGCCATGCTTTAAGTCACGTTCTGTGGGCTTTAAATGGAATGCCATCAACCTAATGTTTTTTTTTCCATTTGTAAATATTTTTTGCACAGTTCTGGTTTATTACATTTAAGATTAAAATAATAATTTGTTTTTGTTAGTTAAAAAAAACAAATAGCTTGAATAATGTGGAAATCCTGGCTACAGTAATAGAATTTGTGGTTTCCTAACTTCTGCTGGCAAAATCAAATCTCCTTGAAGTAATGAGCAGTCCAAGAACACTTACTGGTTTATCAGGTGCCACCATTTGGTGCTTATCATGTCACCACTGTTGTTGTCACTCTCAGTGTAACACCCTGAGGAGCAGCTGATTGTGTGTTACAATTGTCCCCTGTGTGTTTCAGTCCGAAGAAGAAGCAGTAGAAGGAGAGAAAGAATTGGAAGTTTTGAAGAAAAGTGCAGACTGGGTGTCAGACTGGTCAAGTAGGCCTGAAAACATTCCTCCCAAGTGAGTTAAACTCCGTGTTTTTAATGAGTATTAATATGTTTTAATGAATAGATGAAGGAAAAGATTGTCACAGTCTCACAATCAAAATAAGTTCATCCTAGGAAGAGATTGATTTCTCTGTGGGGAGGCTAAAAAGGTCGAAACAATGAAGTATGAAAATCAAAATAACGCCAGAATGACTTGAAGGTAATACAAAGCCACAGCAAGCTGTGACAAAATTCTAATTAGTGGGAGAGCTGGGTGCTTGGAGCTGGGATTCATGAGATTTAGTCTTGGCTTATTGAATGGAAGAGTGTTGAGCAAGTCTCCTAAATTCTCTGTCCCTTTTTTTCTTTCTATGTAAAATATGTAATGTTCATCCACGGAAGGGGAAACCTTGAGATCCTTGAATGCAAAGCATTTTTATTAAAATAGAGGATGCTGTCTAAATCTGGCAGACTTCTGTATCTGTGTTTGGAACAAAAAATGAGGCCTCTTGCTAACAAATCACATGCTGAAATTCCCTCTCTCGGACCTACCTCTCTCTGCAGCTCCTGCTCCCTTTGTGTCTATACTGTCTGTGTAAGTGGTCTCTGCACAATCCCTCCTCTTACTCTCTTTGATTCCTTCCTCTGTGTAAGGGATCTTGGGCTTTGATCTCTAGCTCTTTGTACTTAACAAAAAAAAAAAAATGTTCCTACAGAGATCTGTGCATTTGTGTGCAAAAAAAAAAAAAAAAAAGGGGGAAAGAAACAAAAAAGTCTTGTTGAATTTTTTCCCCCCTCCCCCTCTTCTTCCAGGGAATTCCATTTCAGACATCCTAAACGTTCAGTGTCTCTAAGTATGAGAAAAAGTGGAGCAATGAAAAAAGGTGGCATTTTCTCTGCAGAATTTCTTAAGGTTTTCATTCCATCTCTGTTCATATCTCATGTTTTGGCTCTGGGACTAGGGTAAGTATTAACCTAATTCTCACTTCAGCTTTTGCCTTTCCACTTTGCTTGCATGTCAGGTCCTGCTGAAAAGGACTTTTCCTAGAGTAATGATTTTTGCCCATCACTCAGACTTGGTGTAATTTTACAAAAGCAGGAAAACTTTGCAGCAGTTAGAACTTTGCAGCCTTTAATGCGCTTTATTTCTAGAATAAATCAAGTTACATTGAATATGCATGGATGAGTTTGCAAATAACCTTTGCAATTGTAACATGTGCAATTTGATTATGTGCCTTCTATATATAAATGCTTCAGGTTATAAGGGGGAAAATTACAATAGATGAAAAATAACTTCTGCTGACCAATATGAAACTCCACTGCACAAATAATGATGCTGAGGTGGTGTGTGTGGCACAAACCCTGTAATTTCCAGTTTAGTGCTGCAGTGTGGTGTTACTGAAAGTCAGAGTTTGATACTTAAAGAAAGAGAGATGAAAAATTGGATGTGTCCTGCAAGATGAGCTGTGTCTCTGCTCAGCAGTGTTTTCATTGCCTGTGTAATGCAATATAATCTCTCACTTTGCCTAAATCCCTACGCTCTGTTTATCCACCTTAAATTCTGGGATGAGGCAAAGGCATGAACTCAAAACATGGTTTTGTTTAGCTTTGTGTTTGATTTTGTGGATGTAATTTAAGTTTCTCTTTAAATTCTTCTAAACTTTGAAATAAATTAGGATAGAATATGTGAGGATATGCTGTGAAATATTTGTACTACAGCAAAATTGTGCATTTCTGCAATGATTGAAATCTTGCTTGTGGTCAGTGTTTGCATAGATCCTCAATGCTCAGAGTCTTAAAGCTCCCCCCACTCCCTATAGGCAGCACTTGCTATGTTTTACCTCAGTTGTCTGGGAGAGTTGCTGTGTCAGGTACTCAAAACACAAAAGCTTTTGGATTGGGGTTTTCAGGTGAGCTGGCACTGGAGGAAAACCCACTTTGGGTGAGTACTGAGAGCATTGATCGTTCCAGACTCATGCAAAACCTCACTGTAAGTAGTTTTAGAGAAGAAGTCTTTGGATGGATCTCAGCCTTGAGAGAGGGATTAGAGCAGCTGGGTGTGTGGGGACTGTGGGAAAGCAGGGAATGTTCCTGTGCAATCTGTTATCCTTATACTTTTTATTTCAGCATCTACATTGGGAAACGCCTGACCACACCTTCAGCCAGCACTTATTGAAGCCATGGAGTGCAAACCTGGACCCCATGTGACCTGTGAAGGTGTTACTGTCTCATTTAGTACATTTGACTTGAGACCATTTTAAGCATGACCCTGACTTCACCCTTTCCTTCCATATCCAGGTTTTTGCTAACTCTGGAATTCAGTATTGTGTTGGAACTCTGTTGAGGTGTTTGGCTATCCACATTCTTTCCCTCTGTCCCATTCCCCTGCCTCTTGGCCTGCAAGACACGTCAGAGTTGCTGGATGGAGTTTACAACTGTCTCTATGTTGCAAGGGCTTCTCTCAATGCAAAATGCCACCAGCAAGTTTAATTTTATCAGTGATGCTGTTGCCTCCTTAGTGCAACCTGACTTCAGTTGCAGTTGTGCATGATCTAAGTGTTGACTGCATGGTGGTGATAAAACAGTCTCTTTGGAAGGAAATTACTGATTGAAGTGGGAAAGAGTTTTTCTTTTGTAAAAAAGCAGCTGGTTGTGGAATAAACTAAGAAATCACTGGCAATAAAGATCCAGTTGAAATCAGCTTTCAGGGGGAATTTGCTCGGCCCCTTGGATTGGGTAACAAACACCATTTGAATTGCAGGAGGCAAAGACTGCATAAATTTTAAAGTAGGATAACTAAATCCATCAGCATATTTTAATACTAGGTAATTGTTGTAATCTTGTCTTTTCTATGAAGTCAGCTCCTTATTCCTTGTAGGAAAACCTGTCTGATACCTAGGAACTATTAGAAAAATTGCATTGTTTGCATGTGAAGAAGCTTTTTTTTTCTTTACCTGTTTTCTTAAGGGAAAATTTTCAACGTGAAATTTTCCTTTTCACAGTAGTTCTAAATTAAGGAAAAACCCAGCAGCTGTAGTGTAGGTAGGCTCTGTGCAAAAGGAAATGATTCTGTTTGTGGTGGACCCATTTCCATCTCTGAAGATGCGGCGATTTCAGCAGGAAAAGCGTTTGGCTGATCCTCAAGGGGGACAATCTTGCAGGTGCATAAAGGTTCAGAAGTGGTAAAAGCTCTGAAATATCTTCTGCAAATGAATTCTCAATATTCTTCTCTCTCATTGTTTACTGTACAATCTCCTTTTTGGGGATACTTGGAACCTGAAAGTCACTTGTGATGTCTCATGTTAGGGTAGATTTCTCACTGATGTTGTTGAACTTTTATCTTAGGGAACATTAAGCCTTGTCCTCCTTCAGTGACACTTCTTTTCAAAATGTGAAGCTTTAGTACCAAATTGTTACAAAGCATTGGGACAGTCTTGTCCCTAAATATATTTTATTGGATTTCAGAACATGTAGCATGAACTCTGAAGGATAGAATACTCCTTTTATATATATATATATATATGAATATATATATATATATATATGAATATATATATATATATATATATGGTATAGACTTTAATGCTAAGTATTTAGGGAACCAATGCTAATTTTTAGACTAGCAAAAATCTCATTTAAATAAAGACTTTAGTCAGCTGACTTGTAGAAAATAAGAAAATCTAGTCAGCCATTTGGAGAAAACAGCTACCTATGATTGTTTGCTTGCATCAGACTTTATAAAGTTGATTATTTGATAGAGCAGTGATTGCATGAACCAATTGATGCATAGAAGCTAAATCCCAGCTGAGATTTGGGTTAAAAAAACTTCAGTTAGCTCCCAGGAAGTGAAAAAGTTAAGTATGAATCCACTGCTAAACTGTATTTATTTTCATTCTCTACTTCTGAATACTGTCAGAGAATGCTTTCAGGGTGAGCAACAAATCCTCTTGAGTAATCTGCTTTTTTTTCCTTGTAGTTGTGAATACTTAGTGGCACTTGAGCTGCCCACAAGTGCAGGTTTGTTTTGGGTGTGGATATTGGGTTTCACCCAGAGGTGGGGGTGGGCAGGGGAACCTGGTGGAGGGTGTTTTAGAGAGCGTCAAATACTTCATTTTACAGCCCTAAAATCTGAGGGGACAGGAGAAAGGCTGGACCACTTTCATTTCTAACACAGCACTTTGTTTTGTATGAAATTGGAGTAGTGGAAAAAGAGATTTTTACTTAGTAGGGCATATTTTTTAAAGAGGAAAACCCAGTGAATTACACCTTTCTAAATGAAAAGTAATTCTTCGGAATATCTGATAAATAACAGTGCTAACTTGTGGCTGGAGTATCAAGACCACTAATGGCACTTGGAGTGAAAGCTGTGAAACCCAGAGCTGAGGGATGCCCCGTGCTCACTGAACACTGCCTGGGACACAATGCACGATTTACTGAGACCCTTTCTAAGCTTTGGAGGGAAATCTGCAACTTCCACTTTTACAATGAACAGGAATAGAGTGTTGTATCATTCACAAAGGGGTTTCAATTATTGAGAGTTGAAGTTTTGTTAAGATAAATGTTGTTTAAAAAGCTTTATACCTGTTTACAGTTTTGGAAAAAAAAAGCATAGGCTTCATTTTTCTTACATTCAGTGAAAACTGGCCTAGACTTGTAAATAGGATCAAGAAAAAATGCATAAACTCGCACATTAAAGATGCAGGCTGACCTAACTGCAGCAAATGCATATTTACTTACTGTTTTCAAAAGTGAAAGCTGAAGATTGTTAGAAATTCAAATTTTTAATTGACATTTGTTGAAATATTGGAGTTAACTGAGCCAAAGTGATTATGCATTCTTCATAAATTAGTTAGCACTTTGTAACATTATATACAGTTTACATGTATAAGTTGTAGCTTATAAACATTTTGTGCCATTAAAGCTCTCACAAAACTGCTTGTCTGAAATGACTTCATGCTGCGCCTTTCTTTGTCTTTCTTCTCTTTCCCTTTTTTTACAGGTCTGCTTTTTAAGATGTTTTATGGAACTGTTTTGTTCTGGGTGACATGAACATTGAAGCTGCTGTTTATAGACTGGAATAATTTTTTGGAAAGATTGCTTGGGTTTGTTTTTGTTTTGTTTTTTAGTGACATGGGATCATCCGCTTCATTTCCCGAAGCACTTAATAAAAATATTCCCCCTGGATGGCTTTGTGTACCTTCTCCAAGTCCTCCAGCACCTTGTCCAGGAAAAACTCTGCAAGGAAAATAATGTGGTGGCATATTAAATGTAAAGTAGAATTGCTGAGATTTTGTATGATTGATCAACTCTGTTGTATTCCTTGTATTTCTCTTCTGTTTCCTCATTGGGTTTAATTTGCAGATTAAAGAGTAAGGGACATAAACCCTAATTTTTAATCTGCCTCCATGTTCTTGGTTCAAGAGCACAGGTTATTTCTGTTTATCCAGAGGAGAGTTGTTTATTCTAGGTGGAAATGGCACCCTTCTGATTCCTGGTACGACCCATTTTAGTTATTTTCTATATTTTTAATCTGTAAATCCAGAACTTCGTGTAAATGGGATTTTCTTTTTCCAGAGGAATAGGCAAAAGTTATAAACCCTACTTTCAGAAAGTTTCTTTCTCTGGGTCTCACAGTGAAACTTGGGCCTGAACTTTTGAATTGCTTCAAAACCTTTTTGGTTATAATGCAAGAATAAATACAAGATCATCTTGCATAAGGCAGCACTTTCTTGGCTCTGGGATTATTCTGGTGTGAATCACATTTTGATGGAGTTGAGGACTGTGTTCAAGTTTCTTTTCATTCTTGTCCAGGAATTTTGGATTCTGGGCAAGTTCCTTTCTACCATGACCTGAGGGAATCTCCAGGCGCTCTGTGGTTGAGTTCAGTGGTGGGATGTTGAGTCTTCCTTACGCTGGATTCAGGCTTCACTGTACACATATAAAAAGCTTAGAATTTGAATTGCTTAATGGCCAAGTTCACTATAAAAACATTATTTACACTTTTGTGTGTATGCATACCTGTAAAGTATGCATTTCACTATCTGAAAGTGAAGCCCTGATTCCCTGCAAGGATCTTTGCCTTGTGTTTGTGATTTGTGAGGACTCCTTTGTGTTTTGGGCCTTGAAAACCAAAATAAACCACCAGGATTCCTGAACTCTGCCCTGTAGTTCAACCAGCACCGTCAAAACAAAACCAAAACCTGGAGGTGCTCTTGGAAAACCTCGTGCTGGATACAGCATCCCATGAAAAAGAGAAAGCTCAATTGGTTTCCACTTCTTTGGGTGCCTCTGTGCCCTGCCCAAGGTGAGCTGAGCTGCCTCAGCTGGGCTGTGCTGACATCGGGGGCAGAGCGAGGGGTGCTTTTCCAGGAAGGAAAGTAAACATGACTTCACTTTCTGAGCTGCTGCCAGAGAATTTCCAGTATGGAAACATGCATTTTTCTATTTTAAACTGTTTCCTAACGCTTTTCTGATAAGACCGGGAAGTTTGTTTTGAGATTATTTTTTTTTTTTTAGTGGTGCAGTTTGCGTAACTTGGCTTTTGTCATCTGAAGACAAATCAGTGAATTTTAAGGCCAGAAAATGCTTTATCCTGGTGTTTATTAAAAAAAAGACAATAGGCCTACAGCTGTTGAAGTTCTTGCAGTGTACTGAGGTTACAATTAAGTTACACAAGGACACATCCTTGCAAGGCTGTCAGTGTGTGGAGTTGTGCAGAACCTACACCTTGAGCTGTTCCAGTCTTCAACTTCTACCTTACTTTGAAATTTAAATTTCAGCCCCTGGATCCTAGAATGCCTTTCTATGGTAGATCAAGGAGCCTCTGACTCTCAACTGCATTTTCCTGTGTCTTCTAAGTAAGCGTTTTAATTAAAAATTCTCTTTTAAGACCAATCTTCTCAGAGCCTTTTACTTCTGGCATGTAACCTGCATCTAAATACAAGCTGGGAGACTGTCAGTTATCAACAGAAAAAACTTTATATGCAAAATTTTGAGTGAAGCATGTTCCTTGCCTCTCATTATAAAAAATAGTAATTCCTCATTTAATTCAACAGTGCTACGTGAGCTTATGAGCTACCAAGGTGTAACCAGTGCGTGGTGAAACGTCAGACACAAACTGCACCCCTGGTTCTTCCAGCTCATTCTGTGGGCAGCAGCGGGCAGGGTCCTTGTCCCCAGGTGCTGGGAGGAGCTCTGTGGGACCGTTCTCATTTTGCAGCTGGAACAACAAAAACACCTCCTGTGCACTTTGCTGCTGGTTGAAATCCTCTTCTGCTTTTGCGTTATTGCCATTGCTCACTGTGAAGGTCATTGGTGGGATGTTCTCATCCTGCTTCGCTGCGTTCCTGTGCTCTCCCAGGCTCCATTTCTGCTTCTCCATTCTGCTCCAACACCTCGAGCCTCTTTGAGTCCATAGCTCTGTCAGGGGGAGTTTGATGACCGAGACAAAACATTGCCCTGTGTTGTGTGTGTTTCCTGGTTCCATGAGCCCTGCAGTTCCAGCAGGTGGGAGTGTGGATGCTGGGAGAGCTCCAGGTCGTGCACGCTGTTACTTGATGGTTGATTTGTGGAACTGGAGCTGGCACGACCTAGGATGGGGGTGTTCAGGGGGTGCTGCTTTGTTTTCACCTCCAAGGAAGGAGGATGTAAAGGAA